TAGCCTAACATGGGATTACTATGTTAGAGGTAATACACATAAAACAAACAAACAAACAAACAAACAAACAAAACCTGCAACCTAGAAGTTGTGCAACCAGTAATAGTTCACATTGGTATTATTATATTCGCTGCAGTTGGATTTTGATAAGATCTGAAGTTCTTATTCATGATTTAAGTGTAGTAGGCTCTCTGCACACCCACTTCAAGGCCAACCAATGCTACACTTCCACATGCATGCCTCAGAGTAAGCTCTGCCCTCTGCAGTAATTTGAAACTGTCCTGCAGGAAGATGTTACCATAAGTRTAAAGTGATTAGCTTGAGAAGAGTGGCCAAGAAATTGGCTCTAGAATTAATCTGCTGGGTTTCATCATAGTTCCACTCTTTAATTGCAGTCAAGTTACTTCACCTCCCTGAGCCTCAGTTTTCTCATCTCTAAAATGGAAATAATAGCGGCACCCAATTCACAGGCTTATGAGAATTAATGGGATGATGCATATGAAATTTTTAGTGCACTGGATCATTCTTTAAAACATGAGCTAAAAAATATTTATGATTTGGCCTCATATTAGTCCTTTCTGCCCTGCTCTGTGCCTCAGTTTCTCCATCTGCAAACCAAGACGGTTGGATTAGGTAAGCCCTTGTAGGACTTTAAATGAGGGTGGCTGAGAAGACTGTAAGGCACCCCCAGTAGTTTCTGGATGGCCCCAATCTTCCCAGTTACCCCACACAGAGGAAGACTAGGAAGGGTCTCAGAAACAAAGCTCTGGTCTTACCAAACCAATGCTGTAGCTAAGAGAACTGCTGTAGGGATGCACCAGCCCAACTGAGGATCTGTGTCTGTCACYGTATGTGACCTTGGGAAAGTCACTTCATCTCTCTGAGCTCCAATTCCTTCTTCTGTAAAGTGCAACTTCAAATAGTACCAAGATTGTAATGAGCCCACGAGTTAATGTATGCAAAGTGTTTAGCCCACAGAGGAAGATCTCAGCAATAGAGCACTATGTTAATCATCATTACCGATACCAATTTCACATGGAGCCCACCACTGGGCATGGTTCTCAGAGCTAGGCCAAGTGCACATGTGCTCATTCCAACCATCCTTTCTGATGACAATAKAGCTCTTTATGAGGACAGCAGCCATTCTGAGGACACACCTGGAAAAGTGTGGGAGAGCTCTGCATACCAATGATCTAGATTCCCACGATTCCCCGACAGCCTGAAGAAGGTGACACCATCTGTCTTTCCCCACCCTGTCCAGAAGACCAGTTCTGCAGAGCAGGAAAAGACTGGCGACTCTTTCTTGCCCAGTCCTCTCAGCCAAGGGAGAAAGGGGAAGTGACCTCCCCAGGCTCCACAGAGAGTTCCTAGAGTGTTTAGGATGGAACAGTGTCTGGGTTTGATTCTTGGCTTCTTGGCCTACGGACTGAGGATCCTGAATGGACTTCTACTTCCTCATCTGGAGAATGGAGATAATTACAGAATCTGCTTCCCAGAGTTGTTGCAAAGATTGCATGAGCATGTACATGATGGACGGCAGGCCCTCAATAAATACCCATCTATATTCCTCATGTCGCGGCTCCTACTTCATTATTTTTTGACTATGCCATAATGGAAACATCCAACACACTCATTTTGGGGTGTCCTTTCAGCTCTGAAGCTGTGTGGAGTAATGGAATTGATCTGGACTAGTCTGGGGTGCTTGTCTGGAAACCAGACTGGGACCCTGATTCTAAGTATCTGTGACTTTCTACTGGTCACTTTCCATCTCTGGCTCTTAGTTTCTTCCTCTATAATGACATTATTCCATGGAAACATAATGCAGGACACATAGGCACTTTTCAATAGTAACCATTGTATGAAAAGTTAAAAAAAAAAGTAGTAAGTAAATGAATAACCTATTTTACCTGACTCAGTGTGTCAAAAATAGTCTCATTTCAACATGTAATTAATATTTAAAAGTCACTGAGATATTTTAAATTATTTTTTTCTTACKAAATCTTTGAAACACGGGTGTTTTTTCAACCCAGGGCAATTTTARTAGTTATCTGGGGTGATTTTGATCTTGAAAACCTGGGGGGAGACAGTAGAGGTATATGTGTGTGTTTCTGGCAACAAGAAGGTGAGAACTACATAGGAATGATGTGAACATCCTACAGTGCCCAGGCCAAACCCCTACATCAAACGATTAAATGCTCCAAAAGGTTATGAGAACCTGCTTCACTTAAGGCACATCCCCATTTGGATTAGWGGCTTATCAAGTCCTCAGTAGCCATATATGACTGGTGGCTACCCTATCAGATGGTGCAGCTCTGTAACCCAGAACAATTTGGAACTTGGGTTTTGGTAAATTTGTTTTCCTGCTCATCCTAAAGAGTTATCCAATAGACCTGTGGGCGGGCTAAGGACGAACCCATCTGTCCCTGAGTGGTCAGACCCTTCCAAAGCCATCAGTCCTCCCCAGGGAGACTGAGCCTGGGACAGACAGTAAGCTCTGTTGTTCCTTTCTTAGAGACAATGCTGCAGCCCTGCTACCTGCCTGACAGGGCCAATTGTGGTTCAAGGAGAAAAGGGCTTTGTCAGGACAGCAGCCGAGGAGACTGGGGTTCAATGGGGCCCTTTATGTCTGCTCTGGTCAGAGCCCCAATGCCAGCCTGGGCAGGCCCAGCCCCCTCCTGGAGCAGATGGGRAGCCTGAGGCCCAGAAAGGGTGTGGAAGGCCCTGCACTAGATCCCAATGTCCTCTACCTTCTACCACTGCCCCAAATATGAAATTCATCTGAGACTAAAAWACCTTTCTCAAAGCATAGGATGAGTTCCATGTAGCCCTTAATCCCAGGCAAAGGGAGTCCTAGCCAGGACCCTAAATTTAGTGTCTCTTCAAATCTCAAACACATATCAAAACAAATGTGTCAAAGAATACTTAAGTGTACCTGTATCTYGGGTTCTGAGTACATCTCTGGCAACTACAATCCTAAGAATCCTTTCTCGTGATTTAAAAAGGCCCGGCTATTCAGAGAGGCCGCTAGAGCCTAAGTGTTCTCATCACACAAACATTCCCCCTGCCAAACACACATACATGGGTAACTATGTAAGGCAGGTAAATGTATCAATTAGCTTGATTATGGTAATCGTATCAAAATGTATGCCTATATCAAATCATTGCATCATGTCTTAAATATATGTCATTAGTAATCATCAACAATACCTCAACAAAGCTGGGGAAAACACAGCCAGAGGGAAACACTCTCAGTGTATTGTCCTATGTCCTTGAAACAAAAAACAATCACAATCGAGTCTGGGTGAAGTGACAGTTTGAAGGCTTTACCATGGCTGTATCAGAATGGACACCGATTCATAGCACAGGAGGATTTGTGCTGCAGGAATGCTTAGGTAAGAGAAAAGATAAATTCTCTTGTCAAATCCTCCCTCTCAGGTTGCACAGTGCTCGCGTTCTTCCATAATAAAGTGACTTTTCCCACTGAAGCCAATTATCCAGGCTTTTTGCAGCTCTGTGTTCAGTTCATAMTGGCCTTAAAGGTATTTACCTCCATTTGAATTCTGGCTCCACACCCCTTGGGGTGTGCTTGCATAAATGACCCACGGTCCAGGATGTGTTCTGTTGGCAGTGCCTGGGACTACTATACCCTTTCTATACCTGGGGAAGGGCCAAAAAGAGAYGTGTTATTTGACAGATAAAAAAATTGATCCTCATGAAAAGTGAGTTAAAGTCATCCAGAAAGTTAGAAGTCACATGTTCGGAGAACCCATCCTGAAGGCCCAGCTAGAAGAACATGCAGGAGAGAGGAGGACAATGACAGTGGAGACAATAGACTGGGGACCAAGTAGCTTTGTCCTYGCCTGGCTCCTCACATGGAGATAATGGTGCCTCACAGGAGACTTAAATGAGATAATACCCAGAAGGAGGCTCTGCCTGTAGCAATGGTTCAATAGATACTTAAAGGCCACCTCCTTCAGGAAGCTGGAGACCAACACTTCCAGAACTGACTCCTGCTTTCTTAGCGGCCCCACACCTTCACTGCCCCGCAGCAGGAGTTTATTACATTTGAAATGCCAGGCAGCTAAGTGTAGCCTTTGATCCTGGCACTTCCATTTCCCAGCTGGGACCCAAGAYAAGTCTCCCATGCTCTACTTTCTGCAAATGACAAAGGCATGTCCCTTGTAGGGTTGTCATAAGGATTAAACCGACTTATATTTTTTAGCACTTAAAACTCTGCCTGACCTATAGCAAGCAGTTTTACCAGTAGAGTGTTTTAAACTTTTTACTATTACCCACAGAAATACACACACACACACACACACACACACACACACGTATACAATTTTTAAATGGCAAATTTTTATGTATTGGTTTCTAAATAACTGATCCCATTTTGTTCTCCCATCAATATATAAGGTTTCTGGGGACAAAGGCTAATTTTAGTCTCCAATCATTTCATTTCCTCCTTTGATTCAGTTTACCAACCTTCTCTCCTTCATTCACTCGACAAACAAATTAGTACATTTATTGGGCACTTATTGTGTTCCTGCTACCTACTGGCACCCAATTCAGGTCAGATCTCTATGTTGAATGAATGAATAAGTCAAGGGAAGAAGGGAGAAGGAGGAAAGGAACCAGGTTCTCAGAATCCTTTGGTCCTTCCAACTCTCACGTTGTCACTTCCCCTCTGCGGGAAATGTGCCACCTCTCTGGCCATCCTGGAGCGCATCCACTCTGTCACTGGGGGAAGTGGATGCCAGCGCAGTTGTCAGGAGAGGCGGATCCCACGGACACGCCCCCCTCGCCTCCCGCCACTGACACTGGGCGGTGACTTTGCGTCTGKGAGCCCGGCCCGGTCCGCACCCCAGGAGGGCATGCGCCCCTCTTCGGGCGGCGGGAGTGCTGGGCCCCCAGCGCCCGGAGTTGCCCAAGGGTTTGAGTGACTCCTCCTCGGGGACCCTCCCTTCTGGGGCACGTCATTCTCCCTACCCCTGGGTACCGACCCCGCCGGCTTCTCCGGAGCTAAGCTGGGACGCTGGGACGAGTCGCAGCCACCTGCTCCGGAGCGGAGGAGCCTGGGGMGCGGTCGCCGGCGCGTGGGTCCGTCAGCCCAGGGCCCCATGGAGCTGCGGGCCGGCAACACCAGCTGTGAAAACGGTGCGTGCTGCAGGGCTGGGGACCGGGCGGGCTCCGCGCTTTGCATCCTAGCTCCTGTCGCCCCATCTCATCCCCTGCCACGGGAACCAAAGGAAGGAAAGGGGAGGGTCAGTACGAGCTGACCCCCACCAGCTCTCAGACTCGCCTTGGTGACTAAGACGAGATGTCCACCTTCGCAGCTGAGGTAGCCAAGCAAGAAAGGGAGGAAAGGAAGGAAACTGAACGTGTTGGGGCTACTGGTGGGGGGTGCAGAGCGGCTCAGGGTTAGTGTGTGGTTATTGCAGATTTTAGTACTTGCCACGATCTGTCTGTGGCCCAAGACAGGGGAGAGGACCACAAAGACTCTCCAGCCCCAAACCCACATACACCTTTCTTTAGTGGGGRAGAACCTCAGGCCGGACTAAGGAAAGATGCTTGGCTTCATGTGAAGTTCTTAGCAGGAATCAGGTAGTGGACTAGGCCCTTCCCTGAACTCTCTCAATTAATCCTTGAAACAACTYCATCAGGTAGGTAGTGTTACTCTTTTACTGTCCCTATTTTGGAAATATAGAAACTGAGGCCCTAAAAAGGTGTTTGCTCAAGGTAATACAATGGGGAAATGGACTACAAAATAGGGCTCTTGGATCCTAAAACTTATACRGTATGACTGTGCTCAGCTCCTTTCTTGTTCAGACTCCACTTTYCCACCTCATCTTGGAATTGCAGGTGGTGGGGTACCCCCATTTCTCTCACTTCTGCCCTTCTTACCTGAAGTTTTCAAAGCCAGCCTGTTGAGTGTTGGCTGACTTTGGTTTCCTGAGTGACCAGGCAGCTATTTTCAGCCTCACCTCTTATCCTAAGGGATAATATGTTCCCTGGTACAAGAATATTCTGGAAGAAGAGGCTAGAATCATTTATTCCAACATCCATTTTTCAGATGAGCACTTCTCCAGAATTGGATTTCCTTTGGCTATCAGCCTTCTCTTGATTTTCACCATAGTGGGAGAATTTGACCCTCAACAGAGGGTCCTGAGCCTGTAGGTGCTGCAGGCCTTGCAGTGACAGCCAGGTCCACAGAGTCCTTTGGCTCCACCACTAGAGATGCACCTTCAGGGAGCTGGGGAAGGGAGGGGAATGGSCTTGGCCTTGCTCACAGGAGTTGCCTTCCTTGGCCCACCTCCTCCCAAGCTCTGGCTCATTTCCGGGGACTCAGGGAACTCCCCAGATTCAGCTCTTGGGCAAGGAGGACTGAACTGGAGGAACAGGCGTGAGCAATGCAGAACCAGTCTGATCAGGGACTGCGATGATGGCTTCCTGTCTCATCTTCCCTAGATTGTGACACAGGTGTTGGAAAGACAGGTCTCTCCTAGTGGGTTCCAAACCCAACTCCACTACCAGGTGTTTTCATGACTCAAGCAAGTCCCCTACCTTGGTGGGACTCAGTTTCCCCAGCTGAAAGTAACAGGGTGAGACTGACTGTTTTTGGAGGATTCTTCCGGTCCTGTTGTCAGTGGTTCTGTGCCCTGGAGGAATTACCTTTGTTTTATTCCAAAAGGTGCCACTCTGCTACAAATGTGCCAAAGCTGGAGCTTCCTGGCCTTGGACTTTGGGGCTCTTCTAGGCACTGGCTGGGAGTTCTAGCATGGTGGGAGAAGTGCCTGGTCCAGGCTTACATCCTTGGCATTGGAACCTGGGCTTCTGTTATACAGCCTGAAAAGGCTCTTCTACCTCTAGAGATCACCAACTCAAATGCCTAAGAGGCTAAGCCCATAACAAAAGTGGTTGAAGGGAGCCAGGCAGACCCTGAGGAGTTGCACAGAGCATGTCCTAAGATGTCAATGCTGCTCAGGGACAGATAGTTGTTGCCTCATGGGATGTTATGCCCAGTGAGGTAGCTCTTCTGACTTTCAAATGAAGCCCCAAATATGAATCTTCAGGGGAGAGCTCCCATTTTTTTTTTTTTTTTTTGGATATTGAACCCACTTTACCACTTTAAAGCACTCAGTGCTTTACCACTGAGCTACATCACCAGCCCATTTTGTTGTTTTGAGGCAGGGTCTCATTAAGTTGCTGAGGTCTTGCTAAGTTGCCCRGGCTGGCCTTGAACTTGCTATCCTCCTGCCTCAACCTCCAGAGTAGCTGGGATTATAGGCATGTACCACCATGCCAGATTACAGATTCATATATTAAAATAAATAAGCAATACCAATTGGGATCTACCTCCCCACTTTCTACCTGCTTTACCGGGGTGGCTGTGGTGTGTGATTGTGATCATGGGCTTTGGCATCAAATGCGCTTGGATTTTAATTTTAGGTTCACCGTTTACTACCTATATATATAGCTTTAGGAAGAATACCAAAATCAGTCTCTTTGACTAACAACCTGGAAATCATTACCATGCCTGTTTATTGGTTGTTAGGAATCTTCATGGAAAACTCCAGAACAGAGGACCATGTGGATGGTGCCATGTAGGAGTGTTGAATGTTCTTTGTTCTGTTTTACTGAACTTCTGTAGCTTAGTTTTTCACTGAGATCTGACCCTTGTGCCCAGGCCTGTCCTTGATGTCATTAGTGTCTGTGCCCGTTGGGAGTCAAGGTTGAACTGACTCTGGGCCACAAGGGCAAATTCAGACACTCAGGGACTCTGGGACTTAGAGAACAAACTAAAGACAGTTGGAGTGGCAAGGACACAGGTCCTTGAGTGGACCAAAGAAAGTCCCAGCCACAGAAGTGACAGAAGCAAGGCCTGAGAATGGTCAGTTCCCAAAAACAGGAAGCTCATCATTGCAGGCTAAAAGGGGCTTGTCTAGCCCCACTCCCTCATGCTGTCTATGACCAGTCTCCCATTGCAGCTGGAGCTTAGGAGCATGAAAGTAAATAGACCCCTGTGTGGGATCATAAGCTATTGGAGGCCCACATGTCCAAAGGGCTGAGAGGGGATTCTGGTGGAGGGCAGGGGGTTGAACTTAATGATGCCTGTGAACTTGGGGGACACTGCCTAGTGTTTGGGGCATCAGTACCATACATTGCAATTCTGCAGTCTGACCCTCTGTGTGTCCTTAAGCAAGTGGCATGACYTCTCATTGCCTTTATTTCCATATCTGTGAAATGGGAACTGAAGGCATCATTTATTTGACAGGTAGCTGTAGAACTATGATATGTTCATGCAAATAAGGCCCTTAGCCAGGTGACTTTTTAACACACCATCGCTATTATTTTTGGTTCGGGCCCAGTGTGTGAGTGGAGCCCTGGAATAGTGGCCAGTTCCATGATTTTTCAAGTGCACACATGTCCCCAACATGACTCTCACTGGTCTTCCCATCCAGGTTCCCTGATCAGTCTCTACTGCTCCTCCCAAGAAGTCCTGTGTCAGATCGTCGGTGGCCTCAGCCATGAGGTGCCTAACAATGCCACCTTTGACAGCTGGCAGGAGAGGATCAGAAAGAACTATGGCTTCTACATTGGCCTGGGCCTGGCCTTTGTGTCCAGCTTCCTCATCGGCAGCAGTGTCATCCTCAAGAAGAAAGGCCTCCTGCGACTTGTGGCCACAGGGGCCACTCGGGCTGGTAAGGTCCTTGGGGCAGGAGAGGACAGGTGGGGCACAGGGTATCTGAGCCCATAGCTGACTTCCCCTCACAGAGATCAGGGCTTAACAATAGAGTCAAATGTATGAAAGATGATTTATCAAGAGCTCTGTAATGTTTGGAACAATCAATAAAAAAAAAAAAAGGAAAAAAAAAGAGATCAGGGCTTAAGTCTGAGAATATGGTGAAGATGGGCACTAAATTCTCAACCCTATTGAGAGTTGCAGCCACCAACAGGAGACCCCCCCTTTATAATCCAGCATTTCCTGAGAACCTTGTGATGTGGGCATTGATGTAAAGATAGGGAAAATTCTCAGGATCAAGATTCAGATACTCCAGGCTTTGTTAGTCCTGTCTTTGCTTCTTAGTAGCCATGACAAGCCACATCTTCCATCAAATGGTAGTACAAATGCCCCTGCCCACCACAAGGTCAGACTCTGGTGTGCCCTCACTTACTGTCCAGTTGAGCTTTCTATGGGCTACAACACAATTATTGAGTCTCTTTTCACAAGGGACTTGCTTATTTGGAAAATAGAATGTGTATCCATGAAATGATTATTGAGAAAATCTCTACTGCTCCTCCCAAAAAGTCCTGTGTTAAATCATCAGTTCAGACCTGGAGGGTAGGCATTGGGAAGGTTTTCTAGAAAAGTCAATCTTCCAGCTGAGACCCAAGTCATAAGGAGACAGAAAAGGAAAAGAGGAGGAAGACATGATATTTCAGGTAGAAGGAACAGCGTGTGCAAAAGCTCAGAGGTGAGAGAATATGAGTGATCCTAGAAACTGAGAGTGGTTCAGGTAAGGGGGAAAGAGGAGGTCAGGGCTAGCTCATGAATGGTCTTGTAAGCTGGGCTGCAGGGTATGAATGCAATTGCTATGTGACTGAGAGGCTTTAGGCAGAGGARTGACACAGTCTGATTTATGTTGAAACGGTCCCTGGCTGCTGGGTAGAGAACAGATTAGGGCACAAAACTGGAGGTGGGGAGACCGGTTAGATAAGCAAGAGGACAGCACTTGGGTCTGGAAATGGAACTGGGGATGGAGACAAGCAGTGGATTCTGGAGTTTGTTTTAGGAGGCAGAACTCACTAGCTTTGATGTTTACTGGCTACAGGCGCAGGTACAGAAAAAGTCAAAGACGACTCAGGCTTGTGACTTGAGCAGTGGGGGGAGCCAATGGTGCCCTTTTCTAATAGGAGGAGTGAAGATGGAGAATGTATTCAAGTTTGGACATGTTCAATGAAAGTTTCTGCAGGACATTGCACTGGGGAAGTAGACTACCAGGGTTCCAGTTCTGGCTCCTGGATTTCTGGTAATGGAATCCTGGGCAAGGAACGTATTTTTTTTTCTATGCCTCAATTTCATCATCTATAAAAGGGGCATAAGAATAATTGCCAGCCTAAAGGGCTACTCAGAMGACATGTACAGATTGACTCTCTCTTATCTAGAATGCTTGGGACCAGAAGTGCTAGGAATTTCAGGCTTTTTTCAGATTTGGAATACTTGCATTGGCATAATAAAATATCTTAGGGATGAGATTCAAGTGCAAACACAAAATTCATACCTTATATGCATAGCCGGAAGGTAATTGTATACATTGTGTTTAATAATTTTGTGCATGAAACAGTTTTATTGTGTGATATTTCCCACTTGTGGCATCATCAGCCCCCCCCTAAAAGTTTTGGATTTGGGGAGCATTTGGGATTTTGTATTTTAGGATTAGGGATGCTTCACCTGTAACTTGTTTAGAAAGATGCTTGACACAGTAGTATTGGTATTGCTGTTATCTAAGGAGACGCTGGCAGAGCCTGCATGTGCTCCAAAACAAAGAGCTGTGACGAGCAGGTGGACGTTGGAAGCAGTGGCCATTGCTACTCTGTTTTTCACTTCTGGTCAAGTGTTTTGAAGACAGTTACCTCCCAAGTGCAAGTGCCAGGGAAATGTCTGCTTATGCTCAGGGCAGAGCAGGGGAAGTATCACCGACCACTCAGAAAGACAACTTCCCTTGAATCCCTTGTTCCCTCCAATGTGCTATTCCAGTGTCTTCTGAAATGTTGACTCTTAGAATAAAATGTTCTCAGAGTTTTTAGCATTTAGACGACGTCCTGACCACTTCTAGAAATGGATGAAAGCAAAAGATGTTCTCCTTATTCAAGAATAGAAGCATTCCAAAAAAGAAACATGATTTTTGGTTTTTCACAGAACTGGTTCAGGCCCATCCATCCATCATCATCATCACCATCACTGATATTTTTTGAGAATGACCATGTGTTGGGTCCTTAACAAAGCAGTCTCAATTCCTAACTTTGTGGAGTTTCCATTTTAGTGGGGGAAATGCCAGAAAATTCACAAATCAACCGAATTTTTACACGACACATGCCATGAGGGAGAAGAGCTGGTGTTATAAAAGAGAATCCAAAGGGGAAGTTTTGAGGGGATCGGGGGTATCAACATTCAGAGATCTGCAGGATGCACGTGGATTTAGGCAAACATCAGCAGGAAGTGAACTCTAGATACAGGGAAAATTATATGCAAAGGCCTTGAGGGAGGAAAGAGCTGATGATTTTTGAAGAACTAAAAGAAAGGAGCAGAGTGGCAGGAGGTGTGCTTGGCGAGATGAGCGGGGCCAAGACTCTGCATGGTCTTGTTAAGGATTCTAGTCTTTATCCTAAGAGTCATTGGAAGCCATTGGCCAGCTATAAACAGAGATTTAATTATAAAAGACCACTGGTTGCCATGAAAGGAATAGATTATTAAAAGGACAAGTGTAGAATCAGAGTTGTCACCTCTCATTGTCTCAGCCTAGACCAGAGGTGATAGTGGCTTTGAGTTGGATGGAGGGAGTCAGGTGGACATGTGTGAGACAAAGTCGGAAGGAGGAGGAGAGAGAAGGGTCAAGAGCAATTCCCTGGCTTCTGRATTAAGCAACCAAGTACGTGGAGGTGCCATTTACCCCAGGGGTTTCATTTGGCAAGTAGGCGGGGCATTTAAAAATCAACCTTTTAGGACGGAGATTGAGATGCCTGTGAGATGTCAGGGAAACCGTTGGATATGGATCTGGGCCCAGAAGAAAGGTCTAAGCCACAGATATGAAGTGGGCACCATAGGTAGATGGTATGTACCACTTTGGGATTGGATGGAACCACCCAAGAGAGGTCCTAGAACTAAACCCTGGGGCACACAGAGTGAAGGCAGCATCAGGAAAAGAGCCTGAGAAAGTTTGGCCATGTTTAACTTGGTGTCCATTTCCTTCTACAGTGGACGGGGGCTATGGATACCTGAAGGACTTGATGTGGTGGGCTGGATTTCTCACCAGTAAGTGGATTCTCTTGCTACTAATAATAGCAGTCTATTGATAGAAGGGATGGAGATGAAGGGAAGGGTGAAAGGGCATTTCTGTTTCTATTATAGAAAGTATGAACCTAAGGCCAGATTTCCTAGAGTGAGTCATGAAAACTTTGATATCGTACTCTTATCTCTGATGGTTTTCTCAGCTTAACATCAGTTTTAATCCATGAAGCATCTACCCCCCAGAGAGGTTTGTACAGAGCTGATAAGGATAAAGATATATTTTCTCAACTTTCCTTGAAATATAAGGAGATAGGCTCACTGCCTCTTGATAGTGGACTCTTAGACTTCTCCATGGTAGAAGCTGGGCTCCCGGGAGAACTTCCCCTCTCCCTGGACAATTCATCTGTTGGCCCATTTAGACCATGACTGTGTCTGACACTTCTGGTGTGCATACTCGCACATTTCCTCCATTTTCCATCACCCTCTCTGGCTCTCAAACCCTAATTCTTTTGAGTTTCCACTAACACCTTTTATTTATAATCTCCTAAGTCAGTTTTGATCTTTGTCCTAGCCAGAGCTATTGCAGTGACCATCTGATTCCAAAGAGAAGAGCCAGGCAACTATCTGCCCAGCAAAGAGATGGAAAAAACAYGGGCATTTGCAATTTTGAGAACCTAGAAGGGGAGAATTTAAGCTCTTTGGGATGTCAAGCTTTTCTAAAAACCTGCTTATTGGTTTAGACTGTCCACAGTTCTCCTGGGAAAGAGGATTCCAAGGAGCACTGGTACCCAGAGAATCAATAAATTCAACTCTTGCTTTGTTAATTAACATTGTCTAGAACTTAACTTAAAGATATAGACCAAAACATGGGCAGTCCCTGAGACAGACTAAACTGTGCCTGGACTAGAAACCAAGAGGGAGAAAGAGGAGGAGAAGAAGAAGAAAAGGAGGAGGTTTCTATTCACAAGTACTGCATGTAGCTAGACCTCAGCCTCGCCATCTTTAAAATGGAAGGATTTGGTCAGGATAGTCAGGGAAAGAGCATAAGGATCTCCTGAGCATGCATGGTCTTGTTAAGGAATGCTGGTTTGGGTTTCTAGGGATGATTGGAACCTGAAAGAAGCCATCTCCACCCAGATTCATCTGGAATGGAGATGATTCCTTGAAGTCACCCTTGTCCTTTTCTTCCCTTCATTTCCTAGTGGCTGCTGGAGAAGTTGCCAACTTTGGGGCCTATGCATTTGCACCTACAACAGTTGTCACACCGCTGGGAGCCCTGAGCGTCCTCATAAGGTTATTGTCATCTCTCTAGCCATCTCCAACTCTTTCATGGTTTCAGCTTCTTGAGACCTGGAATTACCTGGTGGGATCCACTGCATTCAGGGACCTGGCTTGGTCCCAGCCCCTAGAAAGAGGCAGTGTGCTGTTTGAAGCTCTAAACCCTTGAATTGTTTGCGGCCACTGGCCTTGGCATCTCCTCGACTAATGGGTGGTTAAAGGGCAGGCCAAGCCCAAATCAGTTGTAGGGGCTCCCACAGCCAGTAGGCTGATGTCTCATGTGAATATCTGGCGCTCCAAGAGAATCGTGTAAATTAAGAGCACAAACCCCAGATTAACACTATCTGAGTTTTAATCCTCACTTGAACACTTAGTAGTTCTGTTATCCTGGGCAAGTCACTCTATCCCTCTTAGCCTCAGTTTCCCTCCTGCAAAACGATAATGCTAGTAGTACCTACCTGGAGGCCCCATTCTGGGGACTAAATGTGACACTGCACAGGAAGTGTTTAGTACAGAACTGGCACCAAAGAATAACCACAGCCATCTTACACTGAGGACTCACTATGTGCTCTGTGTTCTCCATGTGTTCCTTAGACTAACTTATTCACTCCTCACAACCTGAGGCTAAGAGAGGTGAAGCAACTTGGCCGAGGTAACCAGGTTCCAAGTGGCCGGCCCAGGATTCCAACCCAGGCTGTCTTATACCAGAGACTGGGTGCTTAGCTGCTATGCTATGTTGCCTCTCAATAAACACTCCACAAATGATTGATCATTTCAGAAATAACGGAGGCTAATCTGGAGATGAGCTCAGTGACAGAGCGCTTGCCCAGCATGCCTAGGGCCCTAGGTTTGGTCCCCACCACCATGAGAATTAACTAATTACTTACTAAAATAAAATAACTGATACTAAAAGGGTGTGTTTCCACCACCCCTACTCCTCCTGAGCTACATATAGAGCCAGCTCCTCTGCGACAGTGCCAACACTTCATTTGAATGGGTTCTTGATGTGGGGGCTAACCTTGGAAACCTGGTAAATCCCAGCCTTCCACACCCAGTTCCCATAGTTTCCTCTGTTTTGTTTCACCATCTTGATGACAATTTTGCAACATTTACACAGTCGGAAAACAAATATGACCATGACTCACACTGTAGGACTAGCCCAGCTGATTTTAGCTGATGAAGCGCTGATACCTCTCTATTGCATATCTGATAGGTTTACAAATCCCCACTCCCAGGAAGTTGGGAGAAGCATGTAATCCTGCATTGTGTGACCTTTGCCTATGCAAATGCCACCAGACTTTTTTGAACAAGACATTTTAATTAAGTGTTTGGGGCATTTTTAGAGGAGAGATAGGAGACAGACAAAGGAACTTAAATATCAGTATCCACTCTCCTGACACTTTGCACCAAAAATTTTTGAGACTTAATGGGGTCTCAGGACAGCCAACAGATTGGAACCTACACTAATGCCACCTTCATTTTCTTTAAAAAAAAAAAKCTCCAATGATCAGACCCAGCTTGACTGATTCCCTTTTCCTTCACCTCTGCTGTCTCATCTAGAGGATGAGAGGATAATAGAATTATGTCACCAAGGAAGAGCAAGGAACTGGAAGTATTTTATCCAGGAAAGTGAAGACTCAGGGATCCTCTTCACTGAGGTGTAGAGGTTATGAGACAGAACTTGAGCTCAAATCCTGACTCCACTGACTTACCAATTTTACTTCTATGAGGCTCATTTTTTTCTCATCTATAAAATGAGGACAGTATATTTTACTTCACAAAGAATTGTGAGATGTTAGTGATATTTAGARATGATAAATGTAAATTTCCTAGAACAGAACTTAGTAGGGAAAATATGATCAAGACACTATGTCTAAAATTGTCATTGTGATCATTCATATCGACATATACAAATGATTTGTTCTCCATGACCTAAGGAACAGAAATGAAACAAGGAGTAGAAGTTTCCAGAAGGTCTATTTGTGATGGATAACTAGAATAAACCAACAATGAGCTCATTTTGCTTGTAAAAGGGATGAGCTCCCTGCTACCAGAGGTATACAAGACAAGACTGAAAGGCTTTTCACAGMAGTCCTACAAGGGATATGTCCACTGGATAGAAAGACAAAAGCTTTTCCAACCCTTCAGTTTGCAAATGATTTCTGTCTCAAAAATGAAAGAAATCCACTTTCCCTTCTTTTCCTCCTCCCAGAAATGAGTTTCTGTTTTGATCATTTGGGGGAGGTCTAGCAAAGCTTTCACTTTGTCAGAGCAATAGATTAGAGCTCTCATCATCTATTGCTGTCCATGAACTCAGCCCCTCTGTCTCTTTGGGCTGTACTAACCCCTTTCTCCCACCTCGGCGTGCAGTGCCATCCTCTCCTCGTATTTCCTGGGAGAGCGTCTGAACCTGCTGGGGAAGCTGGGCTGTGTGATCTGCGTGGCTGGCAGCACAGTGATGGTGATACACGCCCCTGAGGAAGAGAAGGTCAATACCGTGGTGGAGATGGCTTCCAAGCTGAAAGACACAGGTAGGCTTCCAGCACAAGAGAGCAGCAAACACCAGGGCTGAGCCCTGAGGAAGTTCCCATTGACTGCTGACCGTCTCAGGTCCACCCCTGCAGGAGAAGGCAAGCTCAAGCAGGCTGGTGCATGTTAGCAAGGTGAGCTTGTGGCTGCCTAGCCTGATGTGTGTGGATACCACTTACCGTATCTTATGTGCAAGACACTGTCCTGAATGCTTCATATGCATTGTCACACTGAATCTCACAAAACCCTACCAGGAAGATCCTATGGTTGGTCTGTTTCTATACACGAGGAAACTGGGGTCTTGGGAGTTTAATAACTAACCCAAGTCATTGAAAGGTTGGAAGCTGGGACTGGAACCCATGTTTGTCTGACTCAAGAGCCACCTCCCCTGGGGCCCTCGTTGCTGTCCGCATCCTTCACAGCTGGGGTGACCTAATACCGCCTTCCCACAGGGTTCATCGTGTTTGCTGTGCTTCTGCTGGTGTCCTGCCTCATCCTCATCTTCATCGTCGCCCCGCGTTATGGGCAAAGGAACATCCTCGTCTACATCACCATCTGCTCCGTGATCGGAGCCTTCTCCGTGACTGCCGTCAAGGGTCTGGGCATCACGGTTAAGAACTTCTTCCAGGGGTTGCCAGTCGTCCGGCACCCCCTCCCCTACATCCTGTCCCTCGTCCTGGCTCTGTCCCTCAGCACTCAGGTCAACTTCCTCAACAGGGCCCTGGACATCTTCAACACCTCCCTGGTGTTCCCCATCTACTACGTGTTCTTCACCACCGTGGTGGTGACCTCCTCGGTCATCCTCTTCAAGGAGTGGTACAGCATGTCTGCCGTGGACATCGTGGGCACCCTCTCTGGCTTTGCCACCATCATCTTGGGTGTGTTCATGCTCCATGCTTTCAAAGACTTGGAAGTCAGCTGGGCCAATTTGCCCCGCACGCACAGAAACCCTACGCCCCCATCGCCCGCCCCAGAGCCCAGGGTTATTAGACTGGAAGATAAGAATGTCCTTGTGGACAATATAGAGCTTGCCGGCACTCCATCACCAGTGGAGAAGCCCAAAGTATTTATAATCCATTCTTAAAGCTCAGACTACATGAGTGAGAGGATGAGCCCAATGGTGCAACCTGACCTCTTGATTTCAAAACGTGCTTATTTTTTGGTACAGCTGTTGCCAATGGACTGTTTTTCCTTGAGATGTTAACTTATACCTCATCACTGTTTCTAGGAGAAAATTTTCCACCCAAGAAGAAGTGGTGGCAGAAATTCCTGGAAACAGCCTCAGTGACCAAATATCTCAGTTTACGTTGGAGCCAGCAGGTCCCTCGGGGCCTCCCTTTCCACTGGTTCCTTTGGTGCCATCTCTGTGTTTGGGAAGAAGAGAGAATTTGACCCGTTGAATGTCACAATCTAAGAACTTTCCTGAGATATTAGCCCTTGGGAAATCCTTTGTACCAGTTCTCCTTCTGAGACTGAATCGCCATTCCTTAGCCCAAGAATCAGATAGAGCTGGCTTCCCGAGACCAGTTTGTCAGCCACCCCATCCAGAGCTGACAACTCTCCAACCAGTGTTGCTTTTGCCATTTCCTCTCGGAGACAGAAGCAGGACCTCAGCTGACCTTACTGTGAAAGACACCTGATGTCTCAGGAAACAATTCCAACCAGCCTGTTCTCCGAGTACTCCAGCCTGGTGGTCAGTGTATCGGTGTCCATCCAGTCCCCTCCATTGCCACCTCTTTCCTCACTATGACTGTCCCAAGGAGCCAGTCACTAAGACAGACAGGCAATAATTTTAGAACTCACAACCAAAGATGTGCCACAGCCAAGCTCTGCTGACCAAATCGGATGTCCTGTTTGGCTCTACTCTGGACAGAGACAGCAAAGGCACTCTCTCTTGCAAGTGATCTGGCTAGAACCAAGCTGGAATTCAGCAGAGTGCATAGGTGCTTGATGTCACATCGCCCAGCAGGGGAGTTAACTCAGTCATGTGCAAGGTTGGTCTCCCACAGAATACCTTTTTATTTTTTTTCAAGGAGTCAACCAAAATATGATTTGGAGAGGTGGAAAGAAGCAGGAGGAGAAAAGTCGGGAGTTGGCAGAAGATAGTCACAAGCTGTCTGGAAACCAGGGGCTCATTTGGGGGTTTACTCTTATGCCCAACCAGGTATAAAGGGATCTTCTGGATAATTTCTGGGCTGCAGACTTGGAGACTTGGCCAGTGGGATTAGCTCTGTATCTCAGTGACAGAGTCGGAGCACAGACTTGGCATGGGTGCATTTTGGCCAATGACCAGTTTGCCATGGAGTCCCTGGTTCCACTAATGAGTTAGCTGTTTACCCCAGGGAGCACCATGCTGGGGCTGCTCCACATCCAGCTAAGGGTGCTGCCTTCAGTCCTCTTACATTTAGCCAGAGGCATCTACTAAATCGGAGCAGCTGGAGATACTCCTCCTTTTCTTCTAGCTTCAAGAATATGGGAGCTGTTGCAAGAACCATTACAAAGGAAAGTTAGGAGCCAGTTTACTAGAAAGAGGGAAGATTTGAGCCTCAGTCTCCAGGTGGGTGCAGAGCTTCCCTATGAACCCCCAACCTGTGTGCTATGTTTACATCTTGTGCCTTAGTGAAGCCAAAGCCCAGGCTGAACTCTTGCTGGCCTTGCACTCCAAAGGCTCGGTGGACTGACYGACTGGCTCCCCGTACCTGTAGCCCTGCACCTCCAGGTTTTAATGAATGTGGATTTCTGTCTGTAATTAAAATCAATGCAATATATTGAATCTTGAAAATAGGAGTGAGCTGAGGGTCCTAGGAGTAGGGCTGAAAGGGTCAAAAATAAAGGCTTTGGAGTGTTTGTTTGATATTTGCATCTTGACCTTCTTTGATCATGGAGGAGTTCAACTAGTTCCTCTAGTTTTGGGAGATCAGTCCCCATCTGTAAAAAAGCATGACTACTAAGAAAAGCCCTCCAGAGTCTGCCATGATGCCCTCACTGGAGCGGGAGAGGTCATTTTGGGAACAGGGTCCATTGAAGGCAACAAATACTGAGTTCATGACTGGGCCCTTACCAGGCACCAGGCAAAGTAGGCATTCCATGTGAATCCTCGCTTTAACTCCTCACAGAGCCCTACAGTGGATATATTTTTTTTTATCCCCAATGTATATATGAGAAAAAGAACTTGGAGAAGATGATTGCCCAAGGTCACACAGCCAGGGAGATTTGGAAGTTGACATCTGATTCTAAGCCCAGGGTCTTAACCACCAGGTGGTGTGTTTTCCCAATAGACTCACCTTACACCCTCCTGCAGAGTCTGATACTACTTTACTTTCTTGAGATCTGTGATGTCTTCCTATCCAGATATGAGCTGCATGAGAGTTAGTCTGGGCTTACTGTTTATCCCTTGTTCCTAACTTATAGTTAGAATTAAAAAAAAAAAAAAGCAAAAACTGAATTTGGTTGGGGGCCAGTTTCCAATCCATGGCAATCCTATGAGAAACCCAGCATGGTAAGCAGAGGGACTCTGAAACCAACGTAGTGAGGGCCTTCTGAGCACATGGCCTGCGGTGGGCACTGTTGGGTGCTTTCACACAGAGCGATTTTCAGGTAGGTAGGTGAGTCTGCTTTCTGTCACTTTAACAAGTACCTGAGACAATCACTTATAAGGAGAAATGTACAAGGGTTTCGGAGGTTCCAGTCCATGACTGGCTGGGCCTGTGGCTTCGGGCTTGTGGCAAGACAGCACCATAACAGCAAGAGTGCATAGAGCAGGGCACTCATGGCTGGAAGCCAAAAAGAGAACTAAGAAGAGTCTGGAGTCCCTATTTTGCTTTGGGACATCCTTGAGGACCTTCCTACTAGGCCCCGTTTCTTAAAAGTTAACCACCTCCCAACAGCATCTTCCTGGGGAATAAATCTCCAATTGGGGGACATTTGAGATCCAAATTACGGCAATATTCTTCTTAGTTGCATACAAAAGGAGACTCAGAATTCTGACACTTAATCTTGACTCACACTTCTTGTAAGTGGCAGAGCCAGGATTTGAACTCAGGTCAGTACATCCAAGTATTATTCTGTTAAYGGATGATATCAACCCAGAGGACTGGCCAAAAGAGTGGACAGTGTCCTATAAAACAGGCAGAGGTGTCTGCGTAGGGATTCATTTCACAAGCCTGAGTGTTACAGTCACGAAAGCATTTGTGTTTAGATGYCTTTAGTGTCCTTAGGTGACCTCACAACCATGAGAGCTTAGAAAAGTACAGTCGGATATCAAGGACCCTCTCTCAGGATTTCTGTGAAGATTAAATGAGATAAAGAAATGTAAAATGTGCAGCATCTTGCATGTGTTAAGTCCTAAGTCTCCGCACACCGTTGTTCCATCTGTTGCAGAAACTCAAGATTGAGGTAGGGATCAAATGAGAGCGTGAGGGCAGACCCCTTTGTGAACTGGAATGCACTGGATGTGAGCTGGATTATCACATAAGGCTCTGAAATTAGCCCACGCAGCATGGCCCTGGCTGCACCTGTCTACCCAGCCAGGAGACCTTGGGCAAATGTCTCTCTAAAGTTTCATCCTTAGCAATGAGATGAGTCRTCTTCTAAAGGCATAGTATAGGAGAAGTAAACCAGAGAACCCAAGATCATTCGGGCCTTTAATGACCCAAGACCCAGTTAAACTAAACCAGCTTCTGTCTGGGTGCAAAGGAAGAGAGTCCCCTCTCCGGGCCATGGGAAACCCAGGCTTTGCTGGGGCTCAAGGTCAACCCTAATGGCCTTGTAGGCTGGACCGATGGTCTTTGTCTTTCCTTAATGGCCTTGTAGGCTGGACTGATGGTCTTTGTCTTTCCGAGGAGAGCTCATGTCATGGATTCTATCTAGTCCAAGCAGTGAGACATTGAAACAAACACACAAAAGAGATGCCAAACCAGATAACATTCCAAATGAAAAAGTTTGTTTTAATTAAATACAAACAAGGAAAAAAAAAAGGCACCATGGCCCATTCAAGTATTTTGCATAGATGTACAAATATTGTAAACAATTAATAGGTGGATAAGAGAGAAGAGGATCTGTTTTTCCATTAAGCATCTCCCAAATAAAAAGAAAATTCACATTGCCCTGGATCCCTAACGCGTACGTACACACAGTGGGTGGTGCGAGGGGACGTTCAGAGGGTGGCTTTGGGGGAGYTGGGCTTGGATTCTGCAGAACTTCTCCTTAGCAGGCTTCCCTAGGGATGGGACCCCTTTCCAGCTGGCATTCCCTTGACTTGTGTAGGTGCCCCGCAGAGCTGTTATACACATATTTAACACAATTACTGGCTTTAAACTTGTCCCCAATTTTTAAAATGCAAGTCTTCCATACCCTTTGTCAACTAAGAAGAAATTAGGTCAGACCTAAGGGGAGGCTTTATTAAAAAGGATTACTGAAGGATGAGGAGGAGTTACTGCAATCAAGGAGGGGGAAATTGYAATGCAGAGAATACTCAGACTTTGAGATCTGCAAGAAGCTTAGAGTTGGGGCAGGAAAGGGCTTTTCTCTTATAGGTAGAAGTCAACATGGAGGAAAGGAACCTACAGCAAGCAGGTAGTGCCACTTGGCTAATGTCCCACAGAGCCAGGGAGCCAGGGAGCTAGGGGGCTAGGGGGCTGTCTTCCTGAGGTTTGCATTCAGAGATAGCTCCAAAGCCCCCGAGAAAAACGTTCCCAGGTTGTAAAACTGGCAGGAGCCTAGTTTAACTTCTAAAAAGATTTACATCCTTCTCTATCTGAACAAACAGCATGCTGTTGATGGACAGACCAAACTGGAGTGAAGCTTCCCTCCTCCCCACCAGACCCTGGACCTACACCTACCCTCAGCCCAAGCCAGACACAGGCTGTTTGTAACAGTCCTTCCCCAAAAAGATGAAGACAGAGACTCCCATGAACACTGTTCTTTCTAGCCATGTCCACTCCTTCTATTAAAAGAAAAGRCCTTCTCTGCCTGGGCCATGGGATGCTTGTGGATTTGGAGTCAGTTGGTCCGAGCATCCTCCCTGTGGCCATGGTACCCTCCTCTCCGCATGGCAAAGTTCTCATCTCCTGTGATAATCCTTTGGAATAAAGCCCGCCTTCCCTAAATCCAGAGGTGTTTGTACTTGAACC